AACAAATTGAAGTCATACAATGAAAATTCATCACACAATGAACAGCATACAGCAATAATACTATACAACAAAAAAAAACAATAAACTACCACTAAAAGTTACAAGATGAATGAACTTCACAGTCAGTGATGAGGGGGTGGAGGAGCGAGCCAGACACACAAGTGTATTTTGTATGATTCCATTTACATGCTGTTCAAGAACAGGCAAAACTAATCTATGACTGTTTAAGTTAAAACTGTGGTCACTTCTTGAGGTACTGGTATGGCATGGACTAGGAAGGGGCATGAAGAAACCTTCTGAGGTGCTATAAAAGTTCTATATCTTGATTTGAGTGGTGGTTACAGGGGAGTATACATGTGTATAACACTTGTCAAGCAGTACACTTAAGATTGGTATACTTCACTGTATATATGTTAAAGCTTAATTTAAAAAAATGAACAAAACAAAAACACACAACACAGCAATAATATTAAAAAGATTTCAAGGAAAGCGAAAAAATGTGAACTTACACACTTGTAAATCCACTAATATAAGCAAACATCTTCAATGAATAATTTTTTTCTTATTAACATTCTTAACAACTAAAATTTGTTTAATCTTAGAATTTTTGGTCTTCCTGGACACGACTGGCTAAAAATTAAGTACACTTCTTCTAGAAAAGAAGGAATTATTTTTATAGGTAACTAAGAATATTCAATCATTTAGCTGTAAGAAGAATGGAAATGATGTTAGAAATGTACATATGAGCTATTAAACATAAAATCAGAGAACTATTAGAGATTTGTATGTTTTACACATCTACTGTATGTGTATATCTATTATATACATAAACATATATTAGAAATCTACATAAAAGGTACACAGCTATTAAATAGCTATTATTATATCACCTATCACCTACTTAATCACTCTCATTAGATTTTTAGCTCCTTGAAGAATGATTTCCTGTACACTACTGTTTTCTCATTTCTAGCTTAGAGTCTAGCACACAACAAGCATATAAATACTTCTTGAATAAAACAACAATTTCAAGTAAACCATATTGTTAACACTGTATTTTCCTCCTCAATTTTATGAATTACCTAAAAGACATGTTTGTTGATAAACAACTCTCTCTATTCAAGAACTTCCTAATCTTTACAGAGCGTGTATATATACATGTATGTATGCACATACACACATGTATATATACACACATGTATATACACACACATTGAATATATATGTATATACTGTGTATGCACACACAGACTTACATTTCCTGTAAAATCTAACTAGGAGCCTATATCAACCTTGAGAAAAAAATTATGGTGGAAAAGGTGAATAAGATTTGACATCAGATAGACCTGTAAAAGGATTACAAATTACAGCCATTTGCTGTAATTAATTAATTACAATTAATACTACCATCTTTTGTGACTGTTATTTGGTTAAATGTGGTCTAACAAAACTGTTTTTTCACAGATCCTTTGGTATAGTCTACTTGTTGCTACCCAATAAAGAAAGAGAATGGATAAGATTACCAACATTGAAGACAACTGCAAGTACACATCCCTTTCAAATAAGAAATTTGATTGACAAAAAGATGGGGAAGCCATGTCTTATTTTTAATGAATTTTTTAAGGCAGTGTGGTTAGAGCATATGACTAGAGATGATGATCCTTTAGTGAAGGATGAGTAGACTGAAGAGAGGGGAGCTTAAGAGAAAGTTGCCAAAAAGTTTTGAATAAGCTAATCTGGATAAGTTGAATGATTCTCCTGAACCATTAGTCTAATGGATTTAAGGGATTGTCCTGTTTTCTCAGTGCTATTTTTTTGTGTGAACAGAGAATCTTCTAAAAATTGAATTTGATCCAAAATTGAAATCTATGACAATGTAACAGTTCTACTGCAAAATAATAATGAAGTATCTGCGTGTACCTTAAATGGACATTTTCACTGCTTGTTTTAAAAGAATACATATTGCTAGTTAACCTGGCTTACTCTCACATGCACGTAAGAATTCTGACCAATTCTCTTTTCTTTAAACATGGGGACCTTCTTAAACATACAGTGCTGTTTAAATCCTGTAGCCATTCTGCTATTACATCAACGATGACATTGCTTTCCTTAGTGTTCTGTTCACATTGATAAGACCTCCAAATACCACAAGCAATATGACTCACTAATGAATGATAAGATTCTGACTGATGTCTGCCCTGATATCCAGAGCTGAAACATAGAAGAGTAAAATTCTTCTTATTCTGCTACTTAACACCTCTAGACAAGTCTCTAGGCCTCAGCTGCTGCTTCTAAAATGATGGCATTGGACTAGAACTAAATTCTCTAAGGTATGCTTTGGTTCTAAGATTTTACTGATGTTAAACTATAAACAAACGTTTTCCTACTAAGCAAATTCACTGAGCCAAATTCTACTTCACACTCACAACTAAAGATTCATATTATTATCAGTGCTGCAGTTTAAACAAAGGTGGGAAAGGTGAACATAAGGCAAGTGTTCAAGGAATAACAAAATGTGTGTTAAAGGATATCACAATGACCTTGGAAAACATACATGGCCATGAATGCAATAAGTTAATATTTAACTTTATAAATTGGTGTTTTTAGTAGTTCATATAACTTAAGTACAGTTTCATGTATTACACAATAAAGCTAGGAAATGTCAAATGGTTCATTACTTCTATTCCAAAGCATTACTATTACCATTACAAAAACTTTTATGTTAAAATCCAGTGAAGAATGCATATTGTACAGTAACCAAATACATAACTGGTGAATCTCATTAGAAAAATGAGTTTAAGATGCTCACAAAGTTTCAGAGGAATAGTACTACTGCTACTTCTCTCAATCCAATAGATTTTTCCCTAAGAAGTTAGTTTGGTTTAAATGTTCGATCAGTATATAAACAAACAAAATCTGACTATTTTTTACAAAGAAGAAAAACAAATCTTACCTTATCCAGTCTCTTTTGCCAGCTGTCCTCACGTTTTACCATTAGTTCAATACAATGAGAAAGTGTAGCAAGGATTCCAGCAGTAGTTGCTTTAAAAGTTATCGCCTCCCCTTTAAAGTCTATACCATTAATTCCTTTTGGTGTTACATGTGGAAATACTGGAAAAAAAAAATTTATTCACTAAAAATCTTTTTAACAAAGAAATCATTCCTCAGCACAACTTAAAATTAGAAAATTTTTAGAAAACTATCACATCAGAGCAGACTTTCAAACTGTAATTTCCTTCCTGTTGGCCAACATTTTAAAATTTGCATCCATCTCTATGAGCAAAGAGGCCTGTGACAGCATATGTACTCTCAAGTCCTTTTTTCTGGATTCTGTTTCATGAAATCTATTTGCTATTCTGCACCCAGTGAAGAAAGTGGTAGGTGGAAAAATACTTTAATAATAACACTCAAGACAGCCTAGAGTGAGACCTAATTATGGCAAGAACTACCTTACATTTTGAGAAATCCTGAATTTAAAAAATATCTGAAAAGAAACTGCGAAAATGAATGAAGTAATATGTTAAAATTTAAATAAATGTCCAAATATAATTTGGGGACCAATGCACACATTAAACAGTTCTTATGTTTACATATTATAATTTTAATTCAAAGTTAGTCTTTGAATTAAATGAAAAATCTTGAAACTCATAATATGCAAATAAGAGAGCATAATATCTTATACTATAGTTAATAAGAAACCTTTTCAATAGAACTCTTTAAATGAAATAATGATACTTTAAACTTTAAAAACTCATATGTAGATATGACAGCAAAGGCACAATCCATAAAAGCTGACAAACTAACTTCATCAAAATTTAAAATTTCTGCTCTTGAAGGCATTGTTAAAAGAATGAGAGTTACAGTTATGTAGGATAAGTCAGTCTAGAGAGCTAACCTACAGTTAATAAAATAATGGTAACTGTGAAGAGATACATTAATTAGCTTGACTGCAGTAATCATTTCATCATGTACACCAAATCATCATATTGGACACCTTAAATACATGTAATATCTATTTAAAAATTTTTTAAAAAAAGAATGAAGAGACAAGCCACAGACTGGGAGAAAATCTTTGCACAGAATATGTATGATAAAGGACATATCCTTTATCTATATATATATTAATATAGACATATTCTGTATTATAATATACAAAATATAGTAATCTCAAACTCAACAATAAGGAAACATATAACCCAATTAAAAACTGAACCAAAGAACTGAACGCACATTTCACTCAAGAAGAGATCAGGATGGCAAATAAGCAGATGAAAAGATGCTCAATACTATTAGTTACTAGGGAAAAGCAAATTAAAACTACAGTGAGTACCACTACACACCTATTAGAAGACTAAAATTTTAAAAGACTGACCACGTCAAGTGTTAGTGGGGGTTTGGATGAACTTGAACTCTCATAAATATGACTGGTGAAATGCAGCTTGGAAGATTTTTAAAAGGTTAAATACATACCTACCATATGATTCAACCATTCCACCTCTGGGTATTTAGCCCAAAGAAATAAAATATATGGACATAAAAAAAACTTGTATGTGAATGTTCACAGCAACATTATTTATTATAGCCCCAAACTGTAAACAACCCAAATGCCCAATAGACGGAAACTGTGGTTGTTATCTATACAAGGGAACACTACTCAGCAATGAAAAGAAATTAAATACTGATACGTACAACAACAAAGAGAAATCTCAAACTAAGAAAGAGATCAGGCAAAAACACTGAGTTCATTTACATTAAATTCTAGAAAATGCAAACTTGCCAAACTGTACACTTTAAATATATGTAGTTTACGGCATGTTAATTGTATCTCAGTAAAGTTGTTTTAAAACCTATTTTATTTTTCTGGTATTTTCTGAAAATCCTTCCTATCACTATTTTCTACCATTCTTACCAAGACTGATGTTTTATTACAAACTACAATTTTTTTTAATAATCAACTTAGAAACTAAAAGTCATCTGTGTCCTATGTATGAGAATGTGTGCCATTGTAATAATGGGTCCTCCATGCTGTTTGCTAATTTATACACAGTCAGTACAAGATGAAAGACCAACATAAAATGTCTTTGAAAAAACTTAGAAATGTACCTCTTCAGCTGCATTTAACTACTTTCAGAAGCTGTCACCCTCAAATCCTTTTCAGAATGATACAGGGGTTATGTAACAGATTTTTAAACTTTCAAGCAGTTGAAAGTAAGTGTCTCAAACATAGTAAGGTCTCTGAAATAAATTTCTCTCATGTTACATCTGTTAGGAAATGAAGGTCATGAAGACAAAACCTCATCTTAATTTGTCATCCACTGGGCTCCTCTAAGTACTGGTTACTTTGATTTTTGCTCTAAGTCTCTTATACCTTATCTTGTAGAACTACATTAATCTTGATGGAAAAACTTAAGCAAAACCCCAAAGTACTCAATAATTTTAGATGAGTATACTCATCTAAATGTCTCAGCTGTTCACAAGGGAAAGATCTTAAAGAGACAAGGTGGCATGCCTTAGTTTCTTCTGGGAAAATGATACACTGTAGCAAAAGGAAGTTGAAAGTATGTGAATGTAACCATGCTTATGAAGGGCAGAGATGAAAGATATTATAAAATAATCTATAAATCTAGATTTTTAAGTACTTAAGCTCTTAAAATTATCATTCAAATCTATAGTTCTTTTAGTTGAACTGACATTATACAGTTCAAAACTCTTTTAAAGATGGTAACATTCAGAAAATCAAGGAACCCAGAAGCTAACATCAACATGTCAAAAATAAAAACAAATACTGACAGAAGCCAAGAGATTTGTAATCCTTTCATTTCATTAAGACTCCCAAACACTAATTTAAATAGTAGGCAACCTAAGGGGGAATCCTGAGTTTCTGTGGTGAGGATTTTTTCATTTCCCCACCTGAAATATTCCAAATGACTGTGTCCTTCTGGACATACAGGATGGCAACTTTGTTTAAATCTCTCCTCACCTGTCTACTATGATAAAGAAGAAACATGGCTTAAGACTATGACCATGCTATTAATCGTAACAGGGTCAACAATCAACTGGTTTGGGACTACTGGTCTGTTATAGATATGATTATTCTAACAAAGTAAGATACAGTTGGCTAAAAAACTAAATTTAAAATATTCTCACATGAAAAATCTGTGAGCTAAAAGACGATGAAAATTGATCTGTGCCTGGTCCAACTTCTTCATTTAGACAATTAATGTATGAGCATCTGTACACAGACTACGTGGGAGAAAAGGACAAGATGATAATCATGTTTCATAGAGTAATGCATGTTCCATTAACACTAAATTGCCTCTCAATGAGTTTCATCAAGAGTATACCTTGATTTGACAGATTAGTTAATATTTACTGTCATTTTATATAGTAGATGACAATATGCTCTTGTATATTATTTACAAAACAGGAATAGAAGTTAAAAAATTGGTTAGAAAATATGGTTAAAAATATAGTTAAATGGAAACTGGAAAATACAATAGATATAAAAAAAATCCATGCAAGTAGCCATCTTTGACATGTAATTAATACAATTAATCATTAGAAATAAGGGTTTAGGGGTAGGAAATTTCTGACTTTAGATTGATTTAATCTAAAGTAGAGGCCAGGGAGTTACCTGGCAGTCCAGTGGTTAGGACTCTGTGCTTTCATTGCTGAGGGCCCAGGTTCAATGCCTTGTCATGGAACTAAGATTCTACAAGCTGCATGGTGCACCCCCCTCCCCCCAAGAAAAAGTAGGGGCCAAAAAATTGAACAGTACTAAGTCAGTGAATTTATTTACACTTTCAAAAAAATTTAAAGTGTACATTTAATTTATTTATTTATTTATCATTTATTTATTTATTTAGCTGCACCACACAGCTTATGGGATCTTAGTTCCCTGACCGGGGATTGAACCCAGGCCCTCGGCAGTGAAAGCAAGAGTCCTAACCACTGGAGTGCCAGGGAATTCCCTAGTCTTTTTATAAATACCAGCTTTACTGAGATATAATTTTCACAGCATAAAAGTCACTCATTTAACACATACAATTAAATGATTCTCAGTATATTCACAGAGTGTACAAGCATCACCACAATCAAACTTTAGGACATTTTTATGAACCATCCCCTCAAATCCCACATACATTAGTAGTCACTTCCCATTTCTCCCAACCCTACTGCCCAGTCCTAGGAAACCGCTAATACACTTTCTGCTCTACGATTTGCCTCTGAATATTTCATATAAAGTAACAATGAGTGGTCTTCTGTGACTGGCTTCTTTCACTTAGCATAATATTTTCAAGGTTCATCCATGTTACAGCACATGTCAAGTATGTTATTCCTTCATATGGCTAAAAAATGTTCCATTTTGTTTATCCATTCGTTAGTGGATGGATGTCTGGGTTATTTCCACTTTTTGACTGTTATGAATAATACTGCAATGAACATCCATGTACAAGTTTTTATATGGATGTATGTTTTCATTTCTCCTGAATATATACCTAGGAATAGAACTGCTAGGTCCAATGGTGACACCATGTATATATAATATGTTGAGGAACTGCCAGACTGTTTTCCAAAGCAGCTACACCTTGTTATGGTATTTCTTTCCGATTACAGCCAGCCTAATAGGTGTGAAGTGGTGTCTCACTGTGGGTTTGATTTGCATTTTCCTGACGGCTAATGAGTTGAGGAACTTTTCAGGCGCTCACTGGCCATTTGTATATCTTCTTTGGAAAAATGTCTATTGAGATGCTTTGCCCATTTTTGAACTGAGATATTTGTCTATTATAGATTTTTAAGAGTTCTTTATGTATTTTAAATACAAATCCCTTACCAGATAAATGATTGGCAAATGTTTTCTCCCATTTTGTAGGTTATCTTTTCACTTTTTGATAGTTTCCTTAAAGCACAAAAGTTTAAAATTTTGCTAAAGATCAAGGAAGATTTGCCTTGCTCAAGGTGATTAACTCCTATATTTCTTCTAAGGTTTTATGGTGCTAGCTCTTTTAATTAGGTTTTTGATCCATTTTGAGTTAATTTTTGTGTTTGTGTGAAGTAGGGGTTCAACTTCATTCCTTAAATATGGATATCCAGCTGCCTAACACCATTTG